CTGAGTAACAGTTCTGTGTCCCTGAGTAACAGTTCTGTGTCCCTGAGTAACAATTCTGTGTCCCTCAGTAACAATTCTGTGTCCCTCAGTAACAATTCTGTGTCTGTCCCTGAGTAACAGTTCTGTGTCCCTGAGTAACAGTTCTGTGTCCCTGAGCAACAGTTCTGTGTCCCTCAGTAACAATTCTGTGTCCCTCAGTAACAATTCTGTGTCCCTCAGTAACAATTCTGTGTCTGTCCCTGAGTAACAGTTCTGTGTCCCTGAGTAACAGTTCTGTGTCCCTGAGTAACAGTTCTGTGTCTGTCCCTGAGTAACAATTCTGTGTCATTCCCTGAGTAACAATTCAGTGTCTGTCCCTGAGTAACAATTCTGTGTCCCTAAGTAACGTTTCTGTGGCCCTAAGTAACGGTTCTGTGTCCCTAAGTAACGATTCTGTGGCCCTAAGTAACGTTTCTGTGGCCCTAAGTAACGTTTCTGTGGCCCTAAGTAACGATTCTGTGGCCCTAAGTAACGTTTCTGTGGCTCTAAGTAACGTTTCTGCGGCCCTAAGTAACGTTTCTGTGGCCCTAAGTAACGTTTCTGCGCCCCTAAGTAACGTTTCTGCGGCCCTAAGTAACGTTTCTGTGACCCTAAGTAACGATTCTGCGGCCCTAAGTAACGTTTCTGCGGCCCTAAGTAACGTTTCTGTGGCTCTAAGTAACGTTTCTGCGGCCCTAAGTAACGTTTCTGCGTCCCTAAGTAACGTTTCTGCGTCCCTAAGTAACGTTTCTGTGGCCCTAAGTAACGTTTTCTGCGGCCCTAAGTAACGTTTCTGTGTCCCTAAGTAACGTTTCTGTGTCCCTAACTCTGTCCCTAATACAGAGAGGTCTGCCTCTCTTGAATGACTGGAGGCAAATGGAGAATTCTAAAATGGCCACCATTTATAGCTCGACCATTACACAGTGCTGGCTGGCTGGCTGTTGATTGGCTAATGCGATCACATGTCATGAATGAATGCATTATGGGTCAGCGCGCCTTGTCTGCGCGCCTTCCCAGACATCCCCGCTCCGTCGCCGCACATGTCGCCGCCATTTTAGGAAAAATTTTGATTCGCGCATCCGAAGTATGCTAATTTTCGGATTCGGCGCGAATCAAAATTTTTCTAATATTCGAAACGAATTCCACTTCGCCTAGTTCGATTCGCTCATCTCTACTCATAATAACCATTCCTGCATTGTATCTACCTTACAGGGATACTACAGAAGATCAAAAATAACTAAAAAAGTAAGAAAAAATAAATATGGCCCTCATGCAACAAGCGGTTTAACAAAGATATTTTATTACACATAGAGAAGTCTTAAAGACACAGAACACAAGATAACAATAAGGGTACACATAATAAAACAGATCTTTTGGGTAAAGAAGATGTAGAAATAAGCCCTAAAGTATAAGAATATCTATCAATCCACTGATAATGAAGATGTTAGACATAAATGACAAGGATGTAATGGTCACAGAGGAATGGTGGTGGAGATCTCTCACAGTAAGAACACTTCCTTGAATGGTTCTATAAATAAAGAATGAATCCTGGAGGGAATAAAGCTGTAAAGCAATAAATAATATATAAACTGGGCCATCCACTTCATCCATAAAGACATTGTGATTGAAGATCTTCTAGATCACATAGAAGGAGGACTCATCCATGATTTCATACATTTGTTTGGAAGGATAGAACAATCCTCAGAAGGGAACATGTAGGATGACAGGAAAGGCTCCTGACTGGTGAGATCCTTCAAACATAATGATGACATCCATGAACTGGAGCGAGCTCGTTGGGGTGATAAAGCCAATCTGGAAACACTGTGTAGACGTTCTCCAAGAACTCAGCACACTCCAGGTGTGGAGAAAGTCTCCAGGTGGGTTTAGCCTGTCATTTATCATAGGTAGAAATGTCCACACATGGACTTCCACAGGGACCCCCGAGACTACTATAGAACCTGTACAGTGTCCTCAGGTCTCCAGGTGGGTTTAGCCTGTCATTTATCATAGGTAGGAATTTCCACACATGGACTTCCATAGGGACCCCCGAGACTACATATAGAACCTGTACAGTGTCCCCAGGTCTCCGGTGGGTTTAGCCTGTTATTTATCATAGGTAGAAATGTCCACACATGGACTTCCACAGGGACCCCGAGACTACATATATAACTTGGAGGTACCTGTAACATGGAATATATAACTTGTACCGTGTCCCCAGGTCTTCAGGTGGGTTTAGTCTGTAATTAATAATGCACAAATGGCCATATATATGGATTTCTACAGGGACCACCAAAACCATTCTGCATAGCTTGGATGTCACCAATATTACTAGGAGCCCATAAAGCAGATGACCATATAAAGATATAAAAGGCCAATCACTGCCATGGAACTTTAGATTAAAGGAACTTTGTTCCAGTCACACCATTCATTTTTTACACGTAAGGACCAAGTTGGTGTTGGTGAATAACTAGCAAAAAATAGGAGCATGGGGGAGGGGAGAGGGGGAATAGAAGAAGCAGGAAAACAAAGAGATCTTAGTCAAGGAGGGGGTATAGGAAGGGAACGGGTTGGGGAGGGAGGTTCTCCACAAATGGGGTAGAAAACAATATACTAGAATAAGAGCAGGATGGATAAACAATAGAGGAAAGTGACTATAAAATTGTTAACCTTTCCAAGGTGATTTGTTTTCTTTCTAAGAGTTTGAGGTTTTGCTCTGTTATGAAAGGTTCGAGCTTTGAAGCAGTTAAAGATTTCTATTTATTTACCAGTAAGTTTGTCTTGAAAGCATTACATTCCACAAACAATAGACAAGATGATCCTTTAATGGACTGATAAAAGATTGGCCCCAGCTCTCCAGAAAGGAGTACAGAGCTTTAGGAGATGTTGTTGCCCGATGACAGGAAAGTCATGTAGAGGATATTGAAGATGATTTAGCTGACATGGCTTTAGAACTGGTGGAGGAAATTCAGAGATACGAGAATGGTGAGGAACACATGGTCCTGTCCAGAGTAGATGATGATGTGGGTTTTATGTTACATCTTTTTCTTTTCCCCCTTGTTGGCAGTAGTTGGAGTTCAGTGTTCTGTGGCTGCAGTTACCAGAGAATTAAAAATGGTGAATTTTGGAAAGATGGCCTATGATATTCTTATGGGAGAAGAACGTGTTGCTTTGGAACAGCTTAAGAACTGTGATCAAGCCTGCCGACAAGGGTGGAGCCTTGTCATCATGGAGCGAGAAAAACATTTATTGATGTGTCAAAAGATTTTTAGATATAAGGAATGGTACACTAAGATAACATCCATCAACATGGAGAATGGTCAGAAGATCCTCTTTGATGTGGTTGAGGAACCTGTATATTTTATCATAAATATAATTTGGATATTTTCTCTGGCAATGGGGGGGCTGTCAGGTATGCTGTACGGGGCCCCGTGATATCTAACAGTGGCCCTGGGTGTATGTTTGTGTCTGTGCCACCTGTATAGTTAGATAGAACAATAACTTCTGTAGCAATTGTACATACAGAGATGGACGCGGTCATCCATCTTGCTAAAGATCCTCCATCTTGTATCATTCTCTCTCCCTCCAATCCCCGCCCCTCAGGAATGTGGTCTGTGTGTATGCTGAGTTCACAAAGTATCAGGCCCAGCTGGATAGCTTCATGGTTATAAACCCCAATTAGCCTGGGCCCAGTATGTCTGTGAGACTCTTATTTGGAGGTGATTGTAAAGCTATAAACCAGTCCTTCACTGGACATGAAAGACATTCCGAGATAACAGTAAAACATACATCCTATTTAAAAGCACTTTTCCCTACAATTTCATGTCTTAAGATAGAAAATACTTACAATGAAACCAAGCATATATTCAGAGAGGTCACTTTAATACAAGTCACCTGATACCTTACACCCCTAGTTAAAGTCTACAGGAGAGCAGAAAGCCATATAGTTCTAGCTGAAATAGTAATATATGGCATATTTGATGTCTGGACGTTCAGGATATCATTCTGCATATTAATCTACTAGTGGCTAGGCTGCTACATGCACCTAGGCAAGTGTCAGGGCTCCCAGGGTATGACCAGAGGTGTGTGACTGACGCAGGGAAACGCAGACTTCAGATATGTTATAAACAATATAATTTATTAACACTAACAATACAAACATAAACGCAGTGCAATACTAAAACATAACACAGTGCAAACAAACCAAACCAACCACCCACAGATAACAGTACATACAATGCAAGCGTCGTCAGGCAGGCCGGGTCAATATCAATCGGGCAGGTAGGTACAGGGGGGAGCAAGCGGAGAATGGTCGGGGTCACAAGCCAGGTTCAGCAGGTAGCGGGCAGCATGGTACAGAGGGTCAGGCAGAGGGATGGTCAGGAACGAGCCGGGGTCAGAGCAGGAGAAGTAGCAGAGGTCCAGATCAGACAGGGTCAGCAACAAGACAGGTACAGAAACAGGAAGCAGGAACAGGATACAGGGCCCAGGAAAACCACACACCAAGGCAGAGTCTGCAGGTCTGGCCATCCCTTAAATACACCAGTATAATCAGTTCCAGGTGTTTAGCTGGCTGCAAGGTTGAGTCTCTGATTGCTGGGAGCACCCGCTGGCCAGCCCTGGTACTGCAGCTCATAATGCAGGTGAGTCCCACCATTGCTGGCCAGTCCATTCCTGACAGTACCCCCCCCTCAAGGAGCGGCCTCAGGACACTCCAAACAGTCCTAGCTGAGCAAAATGTTCCACCGCCCGGGGTCTGGTAACTGGCGGGATATCAAAGACTGGCACACCGGGCAGGACTCCGGGCAGCGGCACACTGGGCAGAGGCACACCGGGCAGCGGCACATCGGGCTGCGGCACACCGGGCAGTGGCACACCGGGCAGAGGCACACCGGGCAGAGGCACATCGGGCAGAGGCACACCGGGCAGAGGCACATCGGGCTGGACTCCGGGCAGAGGCACATCGGGCTGGACTCCGGGCAGAGGCACATCGGGCTGGACTCCGGGCAGAGGTACATCGGGCTGGACTCTGGCAGAGGCACATCGGGCTGGACTCCGGGCAGAGGCACATCGGGCTGGACTCCGGGCAGAGGCACATCGGGCTGGACTCCGGGCAGAGGCACATCGGGCTGGACTCCGGGCAGAGGCACATCGGATTACCAGGCGAAGTAGCAGGTAGCGGGCCACCAGGCGGAGCAGCAGGCACTGGGCCACCAGGCAGAGCAGCCGGCACCGGGCCACCAGGCGGAGCAGCAGGCACCGGGCCACCAGGCGGGGCAGCAGGCACCGGGCCCCCAGGCGGGGCGACAGGCATCGGGCCCCCAGGCGGGGCGACAGGCATCGGGCCCCCAGGCGGGGCGACAGGCATCGGGCCCCCAGGCGGGGCGACAGGCATCGGGCCCCCAGGAGGGGCGACAGGCATCGGGCCCCCAGGTGGGGCGACAGGCATCGGGCCCCCAGGCGGGGCGACAGGCATCGGGCCCCCAGGCGGGGCGACAGGCATTGGGCCGCCAGGCGGGGCGACAGGCATCGGGCCCCCCAGGCGGAGCGGCGGGCGCCGGACCCCCAGGCGGAGTGACAGGTCTCGGGCCCCCAGGCGGAGCGGCAGGTGCTGGACCCCCAGGCGGAGCGACAGGTCTCGGGCCCCCAGGCGGAGCGGCGGGCGCCGGACCCCCAGGCGGAGCGACAGGTCTCGGGCCCCCAGGCGGAGCGGCGGGCGCCGGACCCCCAGGCGGAGCGACAGGTCTCAGGCCCCCAGGCGGAGCGGCGGGCGCCGGACCCCCATACGGAGCGACAGGTCTTGGGCCCCCAGGCAGAGCGACAGGTCTCAGGCCCCCAGGCGGAGCAACAGGTCTCGGGCCCCCAGGCAGAGCGGCGGGCGCCGGGCCCCCAGGTGGAGCGACAGGTCTCAGGCCCCCAGGCGGAGCGACAGGTCTCAGGCCCCCAGGCGGAGCGACAGGCGCCGGACCCCCAGGCGGAGCGACAGGTCTCGGGCCCCCAGGCGGAGCGACAGGTCTCGGGCCCCCAGGCGGAGCGGCGGGCACCGAGTCACCAGGCACGACAGTGGGCTCCGAGTCAACTGGCATGACCGCTGGCACTGGGTCAGACATTGAATCATCTGGATGGACAGCGGGCATCGGGTCACCAGGCATCAGGTCATTTGGCTCAACAGCGGGCACCGCGTCATCTGGCAAGACAGTGGGCACCAAGTCACCAGGCACGACAGTGGGCTCTGAGTCAATTGGCACGACAGCGGGCACCGGGTCATCAGGTACCGGATTGTCTGGCTCGACAGCGGGCATCGGGTCACCAGGTATGACAGCGGGCACTGGGTCACCAGGCATCAGGTCAATTGGCTTGCCAGCGGGCACCGCGTCATCTGGCAAGGCAGTGGTCACTGGGTCACCAGGCATTGGATCATCTGGCTCGACAGCGGGCATCGGGTCACCAGGTATGACAGCGGGCACTGGGTCACCAGGCATCAGGTCATTTGGCTCTCCAGTGGGCACCGCGCCATCTGGCAAGGCAGTGGGCACGAGTCACCAGGTACGACAGCGGGCTCTGAGTCAATTGGCACGACAGCGGGCACCGGATCAGGTACCGGATCATCTGGATCAACAGCAGGCATCGAGTCAACTGGCCTAATAGGATCATCAGGCTGGATCAGTTCATCATGCTGGGTAGAGGCATCAGGCTGAGTGGAGGCATCAGGCTGAGTGGAGGCATCAGGCTGAGTAGGGGCATCAGGCTGAGTAGGGGCATCAGGCTGAGTAGGGCATCAGGCTGAGTAGGGGCATAAGGCTGAAGAGAGGCATCAGGCTGAAGAGAGGCATCAGGCTGAAGAGAGGCATCAGGCTGAGTAGAGGCATCAGGCTGAGTAGAGGCATCAGGCTGAAGAGAGGCATCAGGTGGGTACAGGCATCAGGCTGGGTACAGGCATCAGGCTGAAGTGCGGGTGCCGAGGCACCAGGCTGAACCACGGAAGGCAGGTTCTCAGACGGCAGGCTCACCGGTTTGGATACTGGCAGGATGGTATTGGTTGGAAAGAATTTTCGCTTTTTTCTGGTTTTAACTACTGGAGCACTGCAAGTAAACGCAGGTCTGCAAACGAATGGAGCAGCTGGAGACAGAGAAGAGCTGGAGGATGGAACAGAGGAGGGAACAGTTGCTACAGAGGACTTCTTTACAGGGTTAAAGGCAGGATAGGTGCAGCGAGTGGGAACAGGGTACTGACATGCGGTAGATAGCAGGGCAGGAGGAGCTGTTGGGAATGCAGGAATATAGCTTTGAGGAAATAGATTAGAAGCAGGACTGGGTTTTTGTAAGCTGACTGAGGCTGGGTGCAACAAGTCTGTCCATGTCTGCAGTATGGGTTGAACAAAGCTGAGCTTACACAAAGCCTGTCTGACCAATGACTGCACTGCGTTTATACAATCTCTTAGTGTCTGTGGTGAACATGCAGAATAACGCTCCAGAAAGTAACCCACATCATCCTCTAATAACCACACCAGGGACTCTACCTGGTCAGCACTAAATGGCGGCAAAAATTCATCCCTGCATTCGGGGGTACCAGATGAAACCAACTCAGCACAAACCTGAATCAATGGCTGCACCTCAGAGAACTCTGTGCCCTGATCTACTAGGCAATGAGCGATCCGTATACATTCTAGCAGTTCATCCTGGGTATACTCCTTCAGAGTCTGATAGGCATATTCTCTGTCATCAAAGACTAGCAGATATAAATACACAACCTCATCCAGATCCATCCTTCCCATCAACAAATCAAGATGGCTTCCCTGTGCAGCCACTTCTGGTCAGGATTGGCCTTGGTGTAATGTCAGGGCTCCGGGTGTGACCAGAGGTGTGTGACTGACGCAGGGAAAACACAGACTTCAGATATGTTATAAAAAATATAATTTATTAACACTAACAATACAAACATAAACGCAGTGCAATACTAAACATAATACAGTGCAAACAAACCAACCCAACCACCCACAGATAACAGTACATACAATGCAAGCGTCGTCAGGCAGGCCGGGTCAATATCAATCGGGCAGGTAGGTACAGGGGGAGCAAGCGGAGAATGGTCGGGGTCACAAGCCAGGTTCAGCAGGTAGCGGGCAGCGTGGTGCAGAGGGTCAGGCAGAGGGATGGTCAGGAACGAGCCGGGGTCAGAGCAGGAGAAGTAGCAGAGGTCCAGATCAGACAGGGTCAGCAACAAGACAGGAACAGGAATCAGAAACAGGATGCAGGAACAGGATACAGGGCCCAGGAAAACCCACACACCAAGGCAAAGTCTGCAGGTCTGGCCATCCCTTAAATACACCAGTATAATCAGTTCCAGGTGTTTAGCTGGCTGCAAGGTTGAGTCTCTGATTGCTGGGAGCACCCGCTGGCCAGCCCTGGTACTGCAGCTCATAAGGCAGGTGAGTCCCACCATTACTGGCCAGTCCATTCCTGACAGCAAGGTTATTTACCATGACATAACTTGGGAGGGATTTTGGTTCTAGCTTGGGTCTCTGCCTAGACCCCCCTCCCCAAATGAGGCCATTGGCCCTTGGCTTCAGAGACACCCCCTGCTGGGGGACCACAAAATAGGCTGTCAGGCCTGAGAGAAGTAAGATGAAGAAGTCTCCCTTTTTAACATCAGGAACCAACTTAGTAGAACAGTACCATTTTGCTCTGACACTTGATCTGCTTAAACCAAGGCTGACGGCAAGTATTCTACCTCCCTAAACTTCTTTCTGTTATCTCTCTGTTGTGCTATTGCTCTCTGTATTTATATATATATATATACAGTTGTGTACAAAATAATAGCAGTCAGACATCACTAACCTGATCAATCTCTGTTTTTGGTGGAAATTATATTTCTACATGGCAAATAATTTCCTAGCAGGTGTAGTAGAGTAACAGAAATCCAACAGACCCAACAGTCATGACATGCATGCTGCTGATTCTGTGTCATTGAATCACTCATTGAAAGGGGCGTGTTCAAAATAATAGCAGTGTGGAGTTCTATTAGTGAGGTCATTCATTCTTTGATAAACAGGTGGCAATTATTGCCCTTATTTAAGGAAGGAAGGCAGCAAATGTTGTACATGCTGGTTACAGTGCATTTCTCTCTGAAATTCTGAGGAAAATGGGTCGTTCCAGACATTGTTCAGAAGAACAGCGTACCGTGATTAAAAAGTTGATTGGAGAGGGGAAAACATATAAAGAAGTGCAGAAAATGATCGGCTGCTCAGCTAAAATGATGGCAAATGCTTTAAAATGGCAACCAAAACCTGAAAGACGTGGAAGAAAGCAAAAACTACCATTGGAATGGATAGAAGAATAGCCAAAATGGTGCGGACTCAGCCAACAATCAGCTCCAGGAAGATGAAAGAAGGTGTGACGTTCCCTGTGAGGACTGTTACAATTAGAAGGCGCCTATGTGAAGCCAAGCTATCTGCAAGAAGTCCCCGCAAAGTCCCACTGTTGGAGAAAAGACGTGTGTGCTGAAGAGGTTACAATCTGCCAAAGAGCACATTGACTGGCCTAAAGAGAAATGGTGCAACATTTTGTGGACTGATGGAAGTAAGATTGTTCTTTTTGGGTCTAGTGGGCGGAGACAGTTTGTCAGACGACCCCAAACACTGAATTCAAGCCACAGTACACTGTGAAGACCGTGAAGCATGGTGGTGCAAGCATCATGATATGGGGATGTTTCTCATACTACGGTGTTGGGCCTATTTATCGCATACCAGGGATCATGGATCAGTTTGAATACATCAGAATACTTGAAGAGGTCATGCTGCCTTATGCTGAGGAGGAAATGCCCTTGAAATGGGTGTTCCAACAAGACAACGACCCCAAACACACCAGTAAACGTGCAATATCTTGGTTCCAGACCAACAAGATGGACTTTATGGAGTGGCCAGCCCAATCCCCGGATCTTCATCCAATAGAAAACTTGTGGGGGGACATCAAAAATGCCGTTTTGAGGCAAAACCAAGAAATAGAGAAGAACTGTGGAATGTGGTCCAATCATCCTGGGCTGGAATACCTGATCACAGGGGCCAGAAGTTGGGTGACTCCATGCAACACAGATGTACAGCAGTTCTCAGAAACAGTGCGACTACAACCAAATATTCATGAAGTCATTCAAAGGAAAGCAAAATCTTCAAACATTTCTCAGTTTATATAGTGAATGTTTGAGTTTGTAAAGAAGAATACAAACACGGCTATTTTTTTGAAACGTCTAATATTCACTTTTCTTCAATTTTTTTAGAGGAACAACACAAATTTGATGTATTTTTCTTCATGTTTTGATTTGGAATAGAATGTGTCGTGTTCCCAATGCATTTGTATGGATGGAAATAAAAGCTACTTGAAGGATTTTCAGCTTTATTCACTTTTTTCAACACACTGCTATTATTTTGAACACAACTGTGTATGTATGTATATATATATATATATATATATATATATATATATATATATATATATATTGGCTACATCTTTTTCTGTAAATATTTTTATTGCACCATTTTGACCTTTTTAGTAATAAATCCTATTTTCTGAAAATTGTTGAACTGTTTCTAAAGCTCTTTAATGCAAACTAAGAGTCCCTGTCTCTGAAGAGTGCTACTGTGTGTTTTAAACTTCTGCATACATTTGCCTGCGGTGACAGTGTGTATACAGATGCTTATTCCAACATCACAGTGTTATTGCTAATATTGGCGAGTTTCCTCCTACTCTGTACAAAAGGTGGGTGGTGGCAGTGTGAAGGGTTAATTGCATAATTAACCTGACCCAGTAACAATCGCTCTGAGGTTGCGGTACATAGATTGTGGTCCATTGGCTGGAAAATCTTTGTGCAGGGTGCAGCTGAGTGTGGCATTGTT